CCTCCTCCACCAGGCATGCCCCCTCCAGCCTGGCGTCAGCCCTCTTTGCTGGCTCCCCCAGGCCCCCCAAACTGGCTGGGGCCCCCAGCACAAAGTGGGACACCCCGTAGTGGAGCCCTGCTGCTGCTAAGAAACAGCCCCCAGCCCTTGCGACGCGCAGCCTCTGGGGGCAGTGGCAGTGACAGTGTGGGCCCACCTGCTGCCGCAGTGCCTGGGCCTCTAAGCCGCAGCACCAGTGTTGCTTCCCATATCCTCAATGGTTCCTCCCACTTCTATTCTTGAAGTGCAAGGTGGATGAGCAGATGAAGGGGCAAGGGCAGGGGTGGGTGGAGCCTGATCCTGGAGGGCTGTAGGCCTGAGGCCCACTTAAAGGTGGGGAAAAAGATGTTGGTTCCAGCTCTCCTCAAATCTCCTCATCTCATGAGCTTCTTGGGCTGGCCAGTGGCCCAGTGTCAGCTTGGGCATAGATGCCTCAAGGCTGACCAGGAGCCCCTGCCTCCCCACCATGGTGCCAGGGTCTCTCTCCATCACAGCCTCAAAAAGGAGGGAGATGTGTGTGTGTCAAATATTCATCTAGTCCCCGGGGGTGGGGGGAAGGGTGGGTTTAGACATAATTATATTCAGAGAACTATACTACCCCCTGCAATGGGGCCATGGACTGGGGACACCAGGCCCTCCCGACCTGCGATGTGGCAGAGCAAGTCTGGGATCTGGGGTGGGAAGAACAGGAGGGAAAGTTCTTCCTAGGAAGAAGGTCAGGATGGGGTCTTGGGGTCAGGATGCCTGGGTCTTTCTGTTCCCATTGCCGGCTGACGTCCTGTGTCGTTTTGTCTTTTTTTTTTTTTTTTTTTGAGGTTAATCAGAGCTGGGGCAGGGGAACAAGGGAAGGACCTTGAAAGGGACTGCACCCAGGTCTGGGAGTGGTCATGGGAGCCCCTCCCAGCTACGGGGCTAGCACAGAGCCCCATGGCAAGCTTTTAATAAACTGTTGATTATTCTAACAGACCCAGGACTCACCCTTTCTGTCTAAGGTGTGTATTAAGGACTGTCCAGTGGCAGGTGATGGTGTTACTTGTATTTAAAATGTATTGCGCTGTGTAAGTAAAAATTTCAGTGATTTTAATGACTTTGGGCATGACTGGATTCAGAGCTTCAAAGGGGATCATCAGCCTTTTGGCCTTGGCTTCAGATTTTTAGAAGATTCACTTCATGCTCAGACTCCTGGTAGCTCCAGGCCTACATCTTACCAGAAACCTCAACAGCAAGAATCTCAGCAAAGTCCTGAAGTGACTTCATAGGCTCCATGTGTAGCCAGAGGCCTAGGTGGTACTCTGATTGGTCAGGTATAGGTCCTGTACCCACCCTTGCAATGCCAAAAGTGTTGGCCCGTGGACTAAGAAGTGGCTATTTTCATAAGAGGAAGACATAAATACCAGCTGTCTCCAAGTTATTTCTTTTTTGCTTCACATTCTTAAGGCCAGTTTTTCAGATGCTCCTTCCCACTAGGCAGGAGGATCAGAGAGGCATGCTGGTCAGGGCTGAAGGAACGATGATAGGAGCTACACTCCTCTGATGGAGGCTGAAGGCAGACCGGATGGCAGGATCTAAAAGCTGGGACTTTGGAGAACCTGAGGGAAAGTGAAGGGGAACCCAGACTAGGGGTGGGCAGGAAGTACAGGGCAGTGAGAGTAGGGGAACGGTGTTGATGAGGTGATTCAAACATGCCTTTATTGAGTCTTAAAATAAACCCCTAATAAGCACTTGAAAATGAGAAGGTGAAGCTGAGAAGTAGGATCCCAACAACTGTGTCCCTAGGGGCTGAGTCTTGGAAGAAAGTGCTTCTGTTCAGTGAGGGCACATATTTGAGGGGTTGGTTGAGGGGGGTGCTGCTTGTACATGTGCTTCCCACAAATGTCTAAGTCCCTCCTGGTAGATGGAGCTCAGTTACTCTCGCCATCACTGCTGATGATGCCTCGCATATGTGACCAGTCCGGGCGTGGGGGACGGCACCTCTCTTCCTCTGAGTCCAGGGCCCGGCGGTATATTTCCCCAGGAGTGGCTGCTTCTGAAGGGTTCCAGGCTGTGTGCCTGCGTGGCCGACCTAGGGGAAGAAGTAGATTAGTTGTCTGAGAAAGCCCAAGTGCCATCTGTTCCTGGGGAGTAAAAAGAAGCCCCTCACCTGAATAGCTGATAATGTTAGTAATGTCCAAAGAAGCCACCTCAGCTGCCTCCTCACGCTGCTCTTTCAGAGCCCGACACTTCTCTAAAGAAGGGTTACCTGGGGCAGAAGAAGCTTGTGATACTCTCCTCCCCAGCAACCAAGGCCCTGTCCTACAGCCCCCACAGCATACCCGGCCTCACCCTTCATGCCCAGAGCTTCCAGCTCTGCCCGGAGGATACACAGGCGCTCCTTGCGTGAGCGGCAAGAGCCCAGGAGTTTCTTGTAGTTGCGATGGGCTCCACAGGCCCGAATATAGCGCTTTAGTCTCATCACAGCAGGGTGGTCCTCACCATGATGACTACCCTGGTAAGGAAAGAACCGCTGAAGGCTAGGCCTGGGCTCGAAGCTGGGTGTCCCTCTTCCCTTAATTGTGGCCTCCCACTCCATCTTCACCCTTACCTTCCTGCTTTTGGGTTCTGGACTGCCATTTGAAGAAGAGGAAGAAGAACTTCGTGTCCTGCATTTCTTGGAGCTCTTCCTGTAAGAGCGGTTCTTCCTTTCCTGCTTGAGAGTTACCCCTGCCTCACTGTCACTCACCTCCCTCTCCGAGTCACTTGCCTCACCATTGGCTGTCTTTCCACTCTCCACTTTGGCTGACTTTCCAATGCTTTTTGAAGCTGGTCTCAACTTCCATCTGTCTTCCCCATCCTCCTCACTGCTTCCACTCTGCCTTTTGCCACCCTTTCCCTGAGTCCTGTCCTTGCTCTTTCTCTGCGTTAGGAGTGCTTCATCTCCCCCACTGTTATCCCCACTGTCTGCTGCTGCTTTTTCCTTCTCTTCCTCTCTTTCCCCACTGTTTCCCAGCACTCCTGCTGCCCTGCTTTTCTGCTTACTGTTCCTCTCCTCCCAAGCTGACTTTTCCCCTCCGTTGCTCAAAGCTCTGGCTTTCCAATTCTCCTCTTCCTCTCTGTTCTCTTTCTTGGCTAGGGTCTCCTCCTCCTCACTTTCCTTTTCACTTTCCTGGTGGCTTTTAGCACCTTTGTTTCCTGTCCCCTGGGCAGGTTCCTCCTCACTGTTATTCTCCTTGGCCTGCTTCCTACTGGCTGAAATCTCGCCTGGTCCCTGCTGGTTCTTAATTGTAGTCTTCCACCCCACCCTCATCCTCCCACCTTTGAGTTCTGGACTGCCATTTGAAGAAGAGGAAGAACTCCATGTCCTGCTTCTCTTGGAGCTCTTCCTATAAGAGCAGTTCTTCCTCTTGCCCTTGGGGATCCCCTCTGCCTCAATGTCACTCACCTCCGTCTCCGAGTCACTTGCCTCTCCATTGGCTGTCTTTCCACTTTCCACTTTGGCTGACTTTCTAGTGCATTTAGTAGCTGGTCTCAACTTCCTCCATCTGTCTTTTCCATCCTCCTCACTGCTTCCACTCTGTCTTTTGCCACCCTTCCCCTGAGTCCTGTCTCTTGTCCCAGGTTTCTTCCTAGCCCTACCCTTGGACTTCTTTTCCCCATCCTCTTCCTCACTGCTCTCCTCTTTCCAAACCTTATTTGTTCTAGCAGAGCTCTCTTCCTCCTCCTTACAGCTCTCCTTCATCACCTCCTTCTCTAATCCAGTCTTTGTGGTAAGGTCCCTTTGCTGTTCTTCCCCATTGCTGCTCTCTACTGATTTTGAAGCTTGCTTTGGACTGACTATTGCTGCCATCCCATTCTTTGCTGGGGGGCTGATGCAGTCTGGACTGGAGGTTGCAGCGCTGGGCTCTAGAATGTGGAGAGAAGAGAAGGTTGGGACAGGTTCCTCCTGTCCCTTCTCCCTCTACTTGGAATAGGTTGCCTCACACTCTACTCTGACAGATGCAAGAAACAGCTATCAGTACACCCTTCCTGGTCCCTGACTCAACCGGCCTTGCCCTCATCCAGTGCCTTACGGCAGGGGTGTCCAAACTTTTGGCGTCTCTGGGCCACACATTAAATACATTGAGACGTGTAATCACAAAAAAATCATAATGTTTTAAGTACATTTACAATTTTTGTGTTGGGCCATGTTCATTGCCTTCTTAGGCTACACACAGGCCACAGAGTGGACACTCCTGCTTGGGACATAATACACGCACAGTAAACACTCTGAATGAACCAACTATGCAGAAGGCACTAACCTGACTCCGAATTCAAACGGAATCTTTTTTTCTCTGGTTCTTTGCAATGGATGAGAGGCCTCCTGGCCTCCTTGGCAAGGTCTAGCCCTTCTTCTCTGGCACCTGCTTCATCCACCTGTTTGTGCATTAAAAGAGCAAAATGTACCGGGCGGAGTTCTGCCACACCCCTCTCACACCACTACTCCTTGGCAACAAACCCTGTCTCCCGTGACGGGGGCTCGGCGCCCACACCTGCATCTTTAACAGTTCCTCCTCCACTAGCTGCTTCAGTGCTTGTTTCTCCTCAGGATCCATGTGGTCGCGGCCGGTGTGAGATAAGAACCTCTGCCTCACGATGGAGTGCGTGAGCGTGCTGCGGAGACATGTGTCAAGGTGGAGTCCTTGTCCAGCCCCTGCCCTTTCCAACCCCAACTCCAACCACCAGTGCACCTAAGGTCCGGGCGGCCTCCGAAGAAGCTACGAGTGAACTCCTGCATCTCGTTCTCCCGCGCCATTTTGCTCCAACTGGGATTGGTAGCTCCCGCGTTTTTCTTCTCGGCCTCCGTCGGCGCGTTTGACAGAAGATTGCGCACGCGCAGTCTCAGAGCGCCGTAATGCAAGTGACCGTTGGGTTTCATTCAGAGAGCCTTTGCCAGACAAAACTTGCTTTTCCGGCAGTTGGAGGGTCTCGTGGCTCCTCCCTTTTCTTAAAACCAATCAGTCTTTTTTCTAAATTCTCATTAGGAACTCATCTGGCGCGTCAACCTTTGGGTGTAACGTAAGCAATCCGCGACGCTGCCTTCATCCGCGGTCGGGGGACTGCGGCCACTGTGATTTCAAAAAACAGAAAAAGGACATATGTACTAAAAACTAGGAAGCCCCGAAGGACAAGTCTTGTGGCTTCTAATCGCTGAGCACATTTAGAATTAGTGAGGACGCCTTCCAGCGTCGTCATCCTTGTGACATCATTGCGTCCCAGCGACACCACCTTTAGCGTAGCACATCGGAGAAAGATCTCTTTCGGTATGGCCTAAGAAGGCAGCCAGTGTGGTCACGATCCCTGGGCGCGGGGTTTGCCGGGAGTTGTAGTTCCAGCTGACAGTTTTACCTAGTCTCCGGAAGTGAAGGCGTGAGAGCCTGAGCTAGACCGTCTCTGTGTAGCGGGACTTTAGTGCTGAGGCACTGCTCCCCGGGCCCATCATGAACGGGCCAGCGGACAACGAGGTGGACTACAAGAAGAAATACCGGAACCTGAAACGGAAGCTCAAGTTCCTCATCTACGTGAGTGATGGGGAGTGGGGTAGGAAGAGGTGAGCTGTCGCGGGGTTCCCGGCCCCTTTACGGACCACCGCCCACTCAGTGCTGACCTTGACTGTGATACAGGAACACGAGTGCTTTCAGGAGGAACTGAGGAAGGCGCAGAGGAAATTGCTGAAGGTGTCCCGAGACAAGAGGTGAGACGCTGGGTGGAGGGGCAAGGGGGAGAAGGGAGGCCTGCAGGTAATGAGGCTCCTGTGGCTCAACTTTCAGATCCCATTCGGGAATGGGGGTCACAGAATGCATGATGCCTGTCCTTGGGTTGTTGCTAGGATCCAACGGGCCAACTAGAATAGACAAGGGCCTAGAAGAACATTGTTGAGGTTTGAATAAATACTCTTGTTCTCCCTGCCTGTTTCCTCAGTTTCCTCCTAGACCGACTTCTGCAGTACGAGAACGTGGATGAAGACTCTTCTGGTGAGCAAGGTCATGAAAAATTGGTGGAGGACATGGTTCCTGGCACTTCAAGCTTCGTGGCCCCTTTGAAGCTGTGGAGACTGACAGCTAGGCTTAAGCCTAGTTGCTTGCCCTCCACCTCTGCCATTCTTTCAGACAAGTATTTATTGAATATCTGTGTTTTAATGATTGCCCTTTGCCCAGGAGATACTGTAGACGAGGTCTCTTGGAATTTGTATTCTAGTTGAGGGTAATAAATAAGCAAGAAATTAGGATTTTAGGTTTGAAAGGAATAAAATCAAGATTATGTGGTAGTGATTGGGGTAGACCAGGGATTGATAAACTTTTTTTGTAAAGGGCCAGATAACAAATATTTTAGGCTTTACCAAACATATAGCCTTTATCACAACCACTCAGTTTTGCTGTTGTAGTGCAAAAGCAGCCAAAGGTGCTGATGTAAATAAATGAGCATGGCTGCGTTTCAGTAAAACCGTACTTATGGACACTGAAATATGAATTTCATACAATTTCTGTGTTGTAAGATATTTTATTTGGGTTCTTTTCCCCAACCATTTGAAAATGTAAAAGCTATTCTTAGTTTGCAGACCATATAAAAGCCGATGGCAGGCAATTTCTCAATAGAGTGCTCAAGAAAGGTCTGTTACAGAAAGTAGTGTTTGAGCTGGGACCTACATTAGAAGAAGAGGCCGATCTTAGAAGATACAAGTGAGAAATGTCCGGGCAGAGGGAATAATAAAATGCAAATACTCTGAGGTAACAGATGACCAGGTTGTCTGAAGGTCCAAAACATATAAAGCAGAGCTTTCAAACTTTTTTACGAGACACTGTTTACAATCAGTATTTTCCATCACAACCAAGTCCCTAAGTACATACTTACTTATAAAGCAAGAATTAATGAAACAATGTTAGGATCATTGTACACAACTTTTTCTGATTCTTTTTAGGCTGCTTTTTTTTTATTTCATTGAGTGTTGGTTGCAAACCAATAAATTGACTTAATGACCTATTAATGAGTTAAGACACACAGTTTGAAAAAGCCCTGCATTTGGCATTTGTGTACCTGTTTCAGAGTGGGTCTGTCAGAAGCCTTCTGACATACAGTCACCTCCATGATACCCTTAAACATTGGTCAGGAAAGAACATTCAGCCAAGCTGCTTGTTCTTGTTCTAATATGTAAGTAAACACCATTTACTTACATATTATAGGAACATAGTAGGTGATAAATGAAGTCAGAGAAGTAGGTAGAAGCCAGCACATGTAGGTCTTGGCAAAATGTTTGGCTGTTATTTCTCATTGCCTTCTTGTTCCTTCCCCGAGGTACTCCAATTAACTCCCTGCTCTAGGGGAATTGCAGGATAGGAAGCATAAGGGAACCAGCATGTTCGTGGTCAGTGTGATAAATCTAAGGACCTGTAAGCTACCACTTACATCCTGGAGAAGCCTGTAGTCCACTGGGTGAAATACCCACACGTGAAACATTTTAGCACAGTGTGAGGAGAATCCTGACAAGTGGGGGCAGAGTTCTAAAAGAGCCAGCAATTAACTGGGCCTGAAGGATTTCAGGAGACTTCTTAGAGAGGTGGCATTAAGTTGTGCTTTTTTTCCTTTTTCGGTTACAGTGTACATGCAACGTTATATTAGTTTCAGGTGTACAGTAGTAATTAGACATATATATTAATTTGCTTTTTAAAGGGTGTATTTGAGCCAGGAGATTGATAAAGGCATACATCACATCTAGCAGTTTTCGAGTGATGGACCTTCTCAGTGGAGGCACAGAACTGGGAAATAAAATCATTTTTGAGGAAATTGATTGGCATGATGTGACATGTTCAGTTTGGTCGGGAAGTCAGAAAGGTAGGTTGAGGCCACATTAAAAAGCATTTCAGATGTGATCAGGTTTGTGTTGGGTCATTCTGGAGCGGGAGTGGATGGTGTGCTGTAGGAGTGCCGAGGCTGCTTAGGTGATTTTGACACTACAAGGCAATGGCTTGACATTGTGGCAGTTGGAATGGGAGGCAGTGGATCAAGGCAGGAGAGATTTGAGAGGCAGATTAACAGGACCCTGCATATAGGGAGTGGAGCAGAGGCAGGAGATGAAGGAAGCTTAGAGACAAATAAGGAGAGTGATGTAAAATGTTCAAGGAGTCGAATACCTGGGTTCAAGTCCAGCCCTACAACTTACTCTCAGCCTCAGTGACCTCATCTGGAAGGTGGAGGTGAGGTGCTCACCTTCCTTCCTGGATGGTTACAAAGACGAGGAAGGGCAGAGAATGTAAAGTACCTGGTCAGAGTCTGGCACGTAGTAAGTGCTTGACCTTTGTGCTGTTGTGGAGGAGCTTGGGCAGGAAGTGTTTATAGATGTCGGTTGTAAAGTATATTTTAAGGAGCTGGGAAATGTGTAGGCTCCCCAGAATAGCTGTGCACACCAACTGGACAGTCAGATTCCCCGGAGCCATTCCATAGAGGTGAAGGTATATACTCCTCTGAGGTAGACAGGACCCCCCCCCCACTGGCCTGCCCTCCCCCCTCACAGACTCAGATGCCACTGCATCTTCAGACAACAGCGAGACAGAGGGGACACCCAAGTTGTCAGACACGCCAGCCTCCAAGAGGTGAGAAGAAGCCATCATTCTTTGAGGATGGGGTTGGGGGGCACCTGGGTCTCCTTGCTGCCTCTGACCCCCTCTCCTGTCCTTTCTCCAGGAAGAGAAGCCCTCCGATGGGGGGTGCCCCCTCCCCCTCCAGCCTCTCTCTGCCTCCTTCAACAGGGTTTCCCCTTCAGGCCTCTGGGGCCCCCTCCCCATACCTGAGCTCGGTGAGTTAGGGGTCAAGGATTGGACACGGTAACTGTGATACCTGGGAAGAAGGTGGGCATCATCTGGGCAGAGGGGCCGGGCCTCAGGGTGAAGCAAGTCCAGCTCCGGGGACATCAGTCTGGGTGTGGCCAGCAAGCATCCCTTAGAGGGCTGTGAGTCTGGGTTGCCCAGTTCTGTCTGGCGTAGGAATGGGGGACATGTGACTGAGGAGAGCAGACCCCAGGACAAAGTCCTGCTGCTGTCCCATCCCCTTCTGTTCTCAGAAGCCACACTCATCACCATCTCTTGTTTTTCCATTCTTCTTCCTATTTGTATTTTTCCCCTTCATTCCCCACCCATCCATTCCATTTCCCATCTCCATCCCCCAACTCCCACCTGCAGCTGGCTTCCCCCCCCTACCCCCCATTCCCTTCTGACTACCTGGCCCTGCAGCTTCCCGAGCCCAGCCCCCTGAGGCCCAAGCGGGAGAAACGGCCCCGCCTGCCCCGGAAACTCAAGGTACCCTGATTTGGGGATGTTAGGGAGGGGCCAGAATGGCAGGAGGATAGCCCTTTGAGGGAGGCTCAAGACGGTCTGGGGGCCTGTCCAAGAATTCTGAAGGACTGATTTGGGGCTGCTTGAGGGCCCAGCCCAGGATCTGGCACTGACGGGTGGATTACAGAAGCCCTGGCTCACAGGCTTGACGTGGAGATGAACCAGAGGCAGAACCAGCCTGGGGGACTCAGTGAAGATGCCTAGGGTCCCGCCCTTACACTGCTGCAGCGTGACGGGCCAGGCTCATTTTCCCAGGTGTTCTGTGGTGCCAGGCAGCCCCAGAGAGAGGGGCAGAGTTACAGGACCTAGATTCAAGTTGAGGCCGCACAAACTAAAACTATGGGACCTTGAGCAGGGCTCTTTCACCCTCTAGGTCTCAGATTCTGTGTCTATAGAGTGAGCAATCAAACTGCTTGTCCTCAGCAAGTGTTTACAGAGTGTCTGCTGTGTGCCAGGCTCTGCTCTGGGTGCAGCAGATGCAGTAGTGAACAAAGCAGATAAATCTCTGCCTTCGTGGGGCTGGCGTTTTAGCAAGATAGGCAGAAAATAGCAAGATAAATGGGTATTAATGCAGAAAAGTGAAGTAAAGAGAATGGGACGCACAAGAGTAGATGGGGCCTGATACTTATGGTTGGGTGGTTTGGGATGTTATTTGGGCAGAGACTTAAATGATGAGAACAAGCTGGATGGCTTTCTGGGAAAGTGTTTCAGTCAGGAAGAACCACCAGTGCAAAGGCCCTGGGGTGCAGGGAGAGGTGCATATTTGGCTTGTTCAGGGACCAGGAAGGAGTCCAGTGTCGTTGGATGAAAGTCAGAAGGGGAGAATGATTAGAGAGCAGGTCAGGGAAATAACTGAGAGGCATGATTGTGTAGGGCCTTATAGTTGTGTGAAGACTTTGGCTTGCACTGCTAATGAATAGGGAGCCTTTGGAGTGACTGGGCAGAGAGAGACTCTGATCTGATTTACGTGTTAATGAAAGTGCTGATATTGCCATGTGGAGAACAGATGGAAAGGGGAGGGGATTGGGTCAGGACAGAAATTGGGAGACCAGTGAGGAGGCTACTGCAGTAAATCAAACAGCAGTAGAGCGGGTGAGAAGTGGATGATGGGTTTATTTCAGAAATGAGCTTCAGGAAACCAGTGTGGGCTGTGAGACAGAGGTCGAGGATGACGCCAGGGTTTTTCACCTGAGCAACTGGAGAAGTAAGGACTGGGAGGAGCAGGTTTAGGAGAGAGGATGAGGAGTATGGTTTTGGACACACTGAGATGCTGTCTGGAAATGCCAACAAGACAACTGAGTAATGAGTCTGGGGTCCATGGGGTACATACTTGGAAGTCATCAGCATGGAGGTGGATGCGATCAGCAGGTGTGAGTATGGATGGAGAAGAGAAGAGGTCTGCGCAGTTAGCACCAGAAAACAGGAGGACACAGAAGGCACAGTGCCCTGCCAGCTCTGAGTCAGAATAGGTAACAGGATGGACAGCTCTCAAGCTGGGTGGACTGCTGACTTAAGATTCTGGAGCCAGAAGTGAAGTGGGATGCAGTGGTTATGGTGGTGCTGTGTGCAGGTTCTAGGGTTTGTATCCCAGCTCTGCTGCCTGCTCCCTGTGTGATCTTGGCCCTTAAGCCTGAGAAATGGGTAGGTAATGGGTGATACCCTGATCCTTCGCTCTACTTAGCAGGCCGGGTTTTTGCTTCCGGCCTATAGAGCAGGATGGTGAAGATGGCATATGGCAGCAAAGCCTGGAGCTGATGGGTACAGGTGTGGCGTGGGCATGGTGGTTTGAGGTTTTCTGAGGTGTTGGGTCCTATAGTGGAGGAGTGTTGGGGAACTAAGTTCTGGACGTGCAGGAGAGAAAATGTTGGTAGGGAGAGATTCCCAGTCAGTTGCTGTGCTTGGGGAAGGGGATACATTGGGGAAGGGCCTCAAGGAAGAGGCAGCGTCTAAGCACAGGATGAGTGAGATTTGGACATCACCGGCTGAGGCAGCGGTGAAGACAAAGTTGTTTGGGCTGGAGCAGGAGCGGTAAAAGAGAACTACTCTGGAAAGAAAGATAAGGTAGGGTGGGATCAGAGAAAGCTTTGATGCCCAGAACTTGGAGGGTCTATAAAGGGTCATTGAAGTTTCTGGGTGACTTGGTGTGAAGAGACAGGGGGGAGCAAGTCTGAGGAGAGGAGGGAAAGCTGTGAAGACTGGAGCAGGGCCTCGGTCAGACTTGGCTGGGTTTGAATTCCAGCTCCTTCATGTGACTTGGGTACGTTGTTTAACTTAAGCTTTCTTGTCATGGGGTCATGGGGTCATTGTCATGCTGAAAGGAGATAAGGGCAGCCCAGCACCTATTCCCTAGTAAGCTGCAGATCAACATTAGCTGCTGTGGGTCACCTGAGGAGGCCCTGGAGTAAGCCGGAGCACATTAGGACATAGAAGCTAGATTAGGGATCAAGAGTAGGAGCCAGAGGAGGGGACAGTCCTCATGTCGCTGTTTTGGTTTTTTTTCAGCTGTGCATGTGTGTCTGCTCCTGTATGTACCCATTTGTGCCTGGCACTGGGTGCAAGTGTGCTGTTCAGAGCTGAGTCTCCTGTATCATCAGTCCTGGCAGACACTGTACCCTGAGGTGTTGGCCCTGATTAAAAATCCACTCTGGCCCTCCATGCCACCTCAGGAATAGCAGTAGGGGTGGGGGCTCCTTGAGAAGCAGAGAGTAGGCCGTGAGAGCTGCAGGGGTTAAAGCAATCACAAGGGCCACTGTGAAGGTCACACATAGGCATTTCCTGCTAACCTGGCAGGGGCGGGGCTGGAGGGTTGGGCAGGACAGAGGCCACTTCCCAGCTTCAGAGGACAAAAGCAGGACTTCTGACAAATAGAAAAGAACATTCCAGGTGGAGGGACCGGCCCGCTGTCAGGCACGCAGCACTGCCTGTCCCAGGGGCAGTAAGGAGCCTGCAGCCCTCGAGTGGAGGAATGACGAGCTCAGGTTTGTGTTTTAGAGAGCTCACTCTGGCTGCAGTGTGAAGGAGGAGCCGGATCTGGGACAGGCTGAAGGCAGGGAATCCCGTTAGGAGGCTGGTACCATAGTCCAGGTGAGCTCAGAGGAGGGCCTGACCTAGGTCAGTGACTGTGGGGGTCCCCAGGAGGGGCCCAGCCCAGATCTAAGGAGCCTCCCATAGCAGCAGGCAGTAAAGACCCTGGGACACCTTCCACCAAACCAGTGAGGCCCCAGTAGAAGGAAGGAGCCGGGGCCGGTGGTGGCAAGTGGTGTTGGAGGTGCCCAGAGGCAGGCAGACAGGCAGGCACTCCAGGCTTATTCTGACTCTGGCTCTTAGGGCCAACTGCCATCCCAGGGGCTGCTGAGGTGCCACCCTGGTGAGGGCATGGCCCAGCATTTCCTTCTTGGTTTCCTGTGAGCCCCACCACCACCCTCATCACCACCTCCATTACTACCCCATACCCCCAAGCACTTGCTGGTTGGAGACTCTGAAGGGGCTAAGGTGGGCAGGCCTCCTGATTCCAGCATGGCTGGTCCAGCTGTGTCCAGTACCCCTTGAATGAGATTTTGCCCCTTCCCTATCCCCCAGCATTGCCTTAAAGGGGCAGTGCCAGCCTCCTGGAGATCCCATTCCTCCCTGACAGCCCTTCCCTATGTTTCTTCCCTCCCTGCTGCAGATGACGGTGGGACCCCCCGACTGCCCTGTGGGAGGGCCGCTGACTTTCCCCAGCCGGGGTTCTGGGGCTGGGGTGGGGGCAGCCCTGGCCCCACTGCCACCCCCTAAGATGCCCCCTCCCACAATCCTGAGCGCAGTCCCTCGGCAGATGTTCAGCGATGCAGGCAGCGGGGATGATGCCCTGGACGGGGATGATGACCTGGTGATCGACATCCCAGAGTGACCCCCACCTGTGCCCAGCGCCCCCTGTGCCAGCACACGTGAGCCCTGAACTTTCACAGAGACGTTTATTGATGCCCAGTTGCCATGCTGCGGCTACTGACACAATCAGAAAAGGTGTAAACATGCACGAATGTCCCCTGGAAGGGGGCCCTCACCAGGAAGGGCAGGGGTTGCCCTCACATCCTGGTCCCATCCTGGGGGCGGTTATTTTAAATGGGTGGCTGGGAACACCTGCCACCTCTGGAAGAGGCGGAGACCCTGTGGTGCACCCCCCCCCCCGCACTCCTCCCCCCCCAGTCTGTTTAAAAGGGCAGCTGTACAGGGCTAGGTGTTGTGTTATGTTTTGTTTTTTAAACGAAGATTATTAAAGGAGTGGCTCTGTTTTGTTTTGGTTTTTGTCTTTTTCTTTTTGGAAACTTTGTCCTCCTTCAACCCCCCCCAATCCGACCTCCTCCCTGCAGGGGGAGGGGGCGGGGCAGCATGGGAAGGCAGGAGAGAGGAGCGGCAGCCGGGCCGGGCAGGGCCCTGGCAGGCCTCCAGCTGCAGGTGTGCACAGGCTGGGTGGTTTGCATATTTGCACGTAATAGCGAGTCAGGCAGGAGGAAGTTTGCATATGTGAAATAGATCTTCACAGTCCCTCACAAGAAGACAGACCCAAAGTCACAGAGACTCTCACAAAATAAGACAGGTAGTATGGGGTAGGGCATCCACCCCGTGTAAACGTGCAACACACTCGTGCGAAGGTTGGGTACGGGACCCGGCCCCAAGGGGCCAATGCTGGGCAGCTGCTCCCACCACTCAGGCTGAGGGCAGAGCCCCAGCCGCGGGGGGAAGTTCGCTGGTCAGTGTGTGCCAGCGCTCCAGGGCTGTGTCTGGCTGCTGCAGGCAGTCACTCCAATGCTTCCGGGCCTCTCCCCGGGCGCCTGGCCCCAGGGACACGCCACCTGCGGAGCAGTAGAGGCAAAGTCAGGGCCCCGTCTCATGCCAGCCAGCCCTCCACCACCACCACCCAGCGGCTCCTTCCTCACCAATGAAGTCGTTGGATTTGCCAATGTCATAGTCCCAGACTGTGACTTCCAGAGTCTTGGTGGCTAGAGCTGAGAGCTCCATCTCATAGAAAAACTCCTGGGACAGGGCAAACCACCCCTTCCATGAGCCGTTGCCCTAGCCCATCACCCCCCACACTGTGATTCTGTCCCTGCCCTATTTACCTCATTAAATTCCGGGTTGAGAGTCTTCTTCTTCACACCTGTTTTATGCTTGGATTTCTTATCGACATCTGGCCTCAGGTACCTGCCAAGGAGGTGGGGCAGGGGTGAAGGAACTGGGTGGTCAGGGCTAAGCCAGTCCCCAGAGGAGGAGGAGGCAGAAGTCAGGCTCCCTGGGGAGGGGAGGGCTGGCCTCAGGGCAGGAGGAGGGCTCACGTCTTGACATAGGGGTCAGAGTAGCCGTTGACATCCATGGCGGCCAAGTGGGCACAGCGCACGATGCCCACCAGCAGCCCCCGGCGAGGCGAGCTGTAGCTGAGGCTCAGCAGGATGCGCCCTCGCTCCTCCAGCAGCCCAGGTCCGTGTTCCACCTGCTCCAGCTTCAGGGCAGACACAGAAGTCAGCCTGCACCTTTACCACCTCCCACCCAGACTGGTGGTCCCTGCGAGGTGCCTTACCTCCTTCAGGTAACAGGAGATGCCCCTCAGCGCCGCCGACATGGAAGATGGTGAAGCCAGCTGAGAGGGCAAAGAAAAGGTTCTGGAAACGCGGCCTCCCCAGGGGCCCCTCCCCTTGGTACCCTACAGCCCCACACAGACCGGGACCTGGCGCTCAAGGCAGATATTAAAATGCTTCTTCTGTGAAGGCTTGAGGCGGCGGAGGGGTACGCGGATCTCCCCGATGAACTCATTGTGGCTCAGCTTGTCCTCATCACACACGGAGATCCTGGCGGGGAACTGCAAGGTCAGGGCCCCTGGGGTGCCTGAGCCCCACTCCAGTGAGAAAGGACCTCTGATGGAACCCTGAGCACCTGAGGCTGGCCTTGCTCTGCCTTAAATACTTTACACCTCATCTGTAAAATGGGCTGTGTGGTGAGCACCAGGCCTGGCATCTGGGAAGAATGCTCTGATTCACCCCGTTTCTCTGGCCCTCACTTGACAGCTGCCCAGCCTGTGTTTGGTCCATCAGGATCTGCTCAGCTGCTTCAAGAAGCCCTCGCAGATCTTGAGGACCCCCCCCATCCTTCCTCCATTCAGGGCCTGTGGACAGGATCCTACTGAATGTGCGTAGGGTGTGCATTGGTGGATGCGGGTCACAGATTCGGGGTGTAAGAGCTCGAAGGGCCTTGAGGAACCTTGGGCTGTCGGACAAGCAGCTCTGGAGCTACCGTCCTTTTCTGCATGGAGCAGGGAGCTGGCCTGGGAGAAACCCATGAAGCCAGAGATAAGAAATGGTTGCTTTTACTTCCATCGTCCCCTTCTGCAGCCCCTGCATTTCCTTCTGCTGTGACACTCTTGAGTAGCTGTGTTGTGTAGGAGTGTTCAATTCCCAGCTCTTCCACTTATTAGCAACCGTGTGACCTTGGGCAAGTCAACTTCCCAAAGCCTCAGTTCTTCTCTGTAAAATGGAGATAATGATTACCAACCTCCTAAAGCTATTATGAGGATCAAATGAAATGTAGAAAGGTAAAAATGCATAGCCCAGGGCTGAGTACTACAAAGAACTGAGAAAATGATTGAACCCTCATTCTCTAGCATCTGAAATATGGGGCCAGTCTTTCTGGTTGCTGCCTCTCTCCTCCCCTCCAGTCCACTTCACACCCAACACCAAGGCGATCTCTCTAAAACACAACCCTGACTACACCCTCCTCTGATGCAAACTCTTCCACAGCTCCCTATTGCCAAAAAAAAAAGAAAGAAAAGTTCTCTCAGGAGCCTAGGTTTTGCTGCCCTTCGTTCCCTGCCAGGGACTACTCTCCCCACAGCTCCACCTCCCGGAATGACTGAGCAAGTTTCCCGTCCTTTAACACTTCACTCCTTAGAGATGTCAGGAGAACACACGCAGCAGAATGGACAGACCTCCACTGCACAGGTCTGACTTAGGAGCTTTGAAAAGGGCTGTTGGTGACCAGGGAAAACTTTCCAGATGTGGCAGAACCTCAAATGATGGGTGGAATTTAGGGTGGCAGAAAAGAAGCAGGAAGCAGGGAGTGCTTTTCAAACAGAAGAGATAACAGGAGTGATGAACCTGACCAGTCAGAAGAGCGTGGTCCCCACTGAAGGAGCAGGAGGAGATATTTTGGGGGTGGGAACGCCACAGAAACATTTTGGCCTGCTGCCAAAGGGGACGGGATCCGCCGACCGTACTTGAGCGTCTGAGAGGGGCTTAACTGGCAGCAGATCAACTGAAGAAGACTCCAAGGACAGCTGCCCCAGAAGACGTGCTGTGCTGGAACCCTGGGTAGCAGGGAGGCTGGGTCCCTCACCTGAGCACCTTGTGGCTGATGTCATCATCCGTGATTCCACTATATGTCAGGTCCTCGTTCCACACGGGATTCAGAGTGTTCCTCTGGGTCTTAGTTTTTAGTTTATTGGCCTGAGGTGTGGGGATGAAGGTTCTCAATACACGCCCCCTAGACTCACAGAGGCTAAAAGCGGGGAAGGTTATGGTCAGACCCACAAGCTGGGTATGGCTGGGGTGGGAGGAAGCTATTACTTTGCAGGCTCCAGGCAGTAGGTGCAGCTTGACGTAGGGGTCGGCCAGGCCATTGAAATCCATGGGCTTGAGGCCCTGGAGAGATGGGGAGGGGAGAGGGCTATGAGCTTTCAGCCATCCCTCTGCAGAGTGGATCCTTGAGGTGTGGAGAGCCAAGAAGAGGGGTACTTGGAGGGAGTGGGGCATGGGAAGGGGAGCAGAGGAGAAAGGAAGGGAGGATGGAAACCCACCCCTGCCACCTCAGCAAACAGAGCTGGGGCTTGGGAATTAGGGAGTACCCACCTTGGCCCTGAGGATACTACAGTGCAAAGTGCAGGAGGCCTGGTCGTAGAGAAGGTCAAACTCCAGCGTGCCTAGGGCAGCTGGAGAAGAAAGAAGATGCAGTGTGAGGTCATGTGAGTTAGTGTGCAAAGACAGGTGTGTGAGAGACCAGTGGGCAGGCCGGCTGTGTGTGCTGGCTGTGAAGGTGTGTGTCTGTTTGCCAGGCTGCAAGTATGTGTGGTCTGGGTTCCTGGCTGGGCCGCAACTGGGCTGTGTGGGTGGTTGTCTCAGCAGAAACATTGGATATTGAGCCTTGCTGAAGCTGTAATCTCCACACTGACTGCAGCTGTAGTGGCAGTGCCCCTGTTGCCTCTCCCCACACACACGCACACCCCCCAGCAGGACTCCCTCCCCTTCCCACAAGCCTGGAGGGCCCCATTAGCACCTTGGCCCTTCAAGCCCCTAGACTCACTGGCATCATCCGAGTCATAGCTGTCCACCTCAGCTCCATCCTCAGGCGTGGTGGCTCCAAGGAGGGCTGCAGGAGGAGCGAGGGCCAGGGGGGCCAGCCGAGCAGGGGCCTCCCCAAAGCCCCCACAGCCCCCTTCAGGTCCTGGTCCCCGGCGGGGGAAGTAGTCAGAGATTTGGCGAATGGGCCGGATGGGCCCGGGGCACACGTTGATGGCCATGTGCTCCTGGATGCTGATGGCCATGCGATCACCCCTGCGGCCCCTCATGCAGCACCCCTGTCTGGGAGGAGGGGGTCCAAGCACCTGAGCCCCCTGCCGACTCCTTATGCCCACAGTCTGCTGGCGAAGATCCAGTTGGAAACCTCCGCAGTCTCTGGCCCCCCTTTCTAGGTGTGGAGGCAGGTCAGCCTGTGCCAGCTGATGGGCAGGCAGGAGGCCCAGGTCCTCCAGACACCCAGCCGTGCCCCACAGGGGCTGGGCTGCCAGCTCGCCCCCACCCCCCACCCCGCGCACACACACAGGTCCTGGCTCCACCTCAGCCTTGCCCTCTTACCTCCAGATTGTCCCTTTGTCATCTTCCCAGTTCCTGCCCCTCATTCTGGGCTTCTGTCCGACCCTGGGCCCTGTCTATTCCCAGAAGCCACCCCACAGGTCTCCTGTGTCTCTCTGAAGCTCTATCCATCACCCTTCTGCAGCAGGCGCTTGTCTGGTCCGGGCGTCACCCACCCCTCTAGACATTCACTTCCCACTCTCCATTCAGTCCCAGGATCTGCCTGTCTGCCTAGTCCCCCACCCCCTGCAGCCCAAGCTGAGATTCCCCTCCTAAAATGCCTCTTCCTGAGATTGGCTCTCCAGAGGGGCCAGAAATTGCAGCCTCCAGCGAGCTAAAACCCCCCTTAGGCACACGCAGGCTAACGCACACACCCTCACCCTCGCCCCCGGCGACCCAGCCCCTTGCACCTGTCTCAGTGCTTCCAACAGGTGCCCAAGCACTGGGGGACGACGGTGCAAGCTGGGCAGTGGTGATTCCCAAGGTGGCCAGCGAGAAGAGCGCTGAGTCCGGCTGTGCGCGCGGAGAGGGAGGGAGAGCCGGAGAAAGTGCGGGAGGAGGGGGTGAGCGAGGTGGAGATGCGGAGGCCGCCGACGCCGGCGGCTGGGGGCAGGGAGGGACGGACAGGGCCGGGGAGGGGACGGTCTCTCCCGCCGGCGCCTGCCCGGGCACAGTTAGGGAAGCACTCGAGTGCACGCATACAAGTCACGAGCACGCAGGCTAGCACCCGCATCTTGCACGGGCACTCCCGCCCACTCGCCCGTGCCCACGTGCACACTCACACACAGGCACAAACCCAGGCACGCACTGACACACTCACCTCGGAAAACTCGCATACACACACTCGCAAATACGCGAGCTCACTGCGTCACCAGGAACCAACAGTGAGAATTGCCCGGTGTTCCCTAACTCCTCCCCGGAGACTCAGCTCCCGTCCCTGGCCCCGCACGGAGCCCACGGTGCCCACTCCCTCGCTTTCTCCTTCCTTCCCTCCAGTCTCCAGGACCAGTCCACTCGCTTAGTTGCCATAGCGACGCCAGCGCTCTCTCGCGCGCGCTCTCTCTCTCTCTCCCTCTCTCCCCCCCTTTACCCCCCTCTTTCTCTATGCAACATATGCCCCTCCCCAGCAGAGAGTTGCGGCTGAGGGAGGAGGGCTTCTGACCCTCCACTCCCCTTATCTTTAGAGGCGGGGCCTGAGGGGCGGGGCTTGGAGTTAGGCTGGGACCCAGTATCCCGCAGGGCAAGGAGTTCTGATACGCCTGCTTTCGCTGGCCTGGGATCTTAGGGTCCCCAAGCCCAGCAGGGAAATCTCCCAGTCTGAGGGAGGAGAAAGAGGTGCGAGGCTGTGGCTGTCCCACGCCTCCTCCCTTTGGTTGTTTAGGTGTCTCTCTTTGTGACCCAGTTCTCCCCCAAGGGCGTGCGTCCCTTTCTCTCTCTGGGAAGGCTTCCCCTTTGGAAATCTGCCTTCTCTCACCCCAGCCCCTACCGCCTCCAGTTCTGTCCCTCAGGTGCAGAGGAGCGCCAGCCTCCCACTGAATGGCCCAGAGCAAGGCAATCTTTCCTCAGCAGTCTACCTTTTCTCACCTGGACCCCGACATCTGCCGGTCTAACCCCAGCCTATGATCTTTGCTCTCCTTTGCCCCAAACTTACCATCCCCAAAAGTCCTCACAGTGGTCTCCAAGGCCCCTCAGTCCAAGACCCTGAGTTGTCTGAGCTGGTCACCCTGCTCCTCATACTGGCTCTCAGAAATGTCACTTGCAGTCCCTAATCACGCCTGGATCTCCCAGGCCACTAGTCCTTTGCTCACACAAGCTGCTCTCTGCCTGGAGGAACTTCCTCTTGCTTCAGGGGTCACCCCAACTCAGCTAATCCTGGGAGCCTTAACTGGAACATTCCCCTTCTGCCCCCAGCTTCCAGTGCTATCTCAGACTCAGCTCTGGTGACACTGGTTTGTCATGCCTGCTTACTTTTCTGTCCCCCTCCCCTACCAGGGAGCAGAGGCTGCCTCACGCTGCTCCCGGCACTAAGGTGGCATCGCGAAACGTTGTGATGTAAACGAGAAATCCGGTTGCACAGCAATGTGAACTGTATGCTTGAAAATACTTACGATATATTGTGATGTGTTTTTTAAATGTACATTTTTAAAAAGAAAGAAATGCAAAGTCAAACTGCACTGAGATTACCTTTGTCATCTATCAATGATAAAATTCAAAGCATCTGGTAGCTGACGATGTGGGTGAGACTGTGGGTAGGTGGGCAGTACCCGAGCGAAGGCCAGGCCGACAGCGGATACTAAGATGACAAATGTGTAGACTGTTTGACTGAGAAACGCCACTTCTAGGATTTTATCCAATAGATATGCTGGCCCGTGAGCAAAATAATAGAAATTCAAGGTCTTTTGCAATGGCAAAAGATTGGAAACAACCTAGATGTCCACAAGTGTTCGGTTAAATCAGTAATGACATAATTTCATGGGTTGAAATAGTACGCAGCCATGGCGAAGAAAGAGGCGCTTTATGTACTTGTTCCGAATCATCTTCACAATCTCATGTTAACTGAAAAAAGTAAGGTACAGAGTAGCACATATGGAATGCTTCCATCCGGGTTAGGGGAAAAAGAGTGTATATATGAGGTTTATTTGTGCATAAATTATTTCTGGAAGGCTGCACAAGAACGTGGTAGCTACGATGACCTCTGAGGACACGGCTGCGAGGCAGGGTAAGGCAGGCATAGAGAGAGTCCTTTTTCAACGTATATGATTTCACGCTTTTTGAATTTTGTGCCATGTGCATGTGTTACCTATTCAAAAACATTAAAAGAGCATATTTTTTAAGTAAGAAAAACCATTAGGTTTCCTTTAGAGCAGTGGCGTCAAACTCATTTTTTTTTTATCAGGGCTACATCAACCTCGTGGTTAGCTTCAAACAGCCGAATATAATTTTAGGACTGTGTAAATATAACTACTCCTTAACTAGGGGCAAGGAGCTCTATATGTGGCCCTTTGAAGGCAACCGCGAGGCTGATGTGGCCCCTGGTAAAAGTGAGTTTGATAACCATGCTTTAGAGCGCTCCGAGAAAAAGAAAGGAGACAGGGCTAAAGGAGATGCCATCCAGGACCTAAGCTGGTGGGTTCAGCCAGAAGCAGACCTGGGCCTGCAGTGAGGGGAAAGGGTGGGCTGGGCAAGGGCCTTAGAGTCCTGCATCCTCCACTGCAGCCTCTTTAAGGGGCTGAGCTCAGGCCCAGCGGCACCCTCCAAAGAGCCGTGTGGCCGGGGAAAATAGACGCCGCTGAGCCCTGATTTGTCGAGAGGTGGAAAGGCTTTTCATCTATGCATTAAGTCAATAAATATTTATCAGATACTCACTATATATTGTGGTGGTAAGACTATGACCGAGGTCAATGGTCTCTGGCTTCACAGCCTTGTAGGGAGAGAGACAACACACAGGCCAGTCCTGTGAAGTGAGATTGGTGTGGTGATGAGCGATGGTCACAAGGTGTGGGGTCTCAGGTGCACTTTCCAGGGGAAGCGTTTTCTCAGCTGATACCTGAAAAATGAGGAGGATATAGCTAAGTCAAGCTGTGGAGCAAGAGTGTCTTAGGCAGAGGTGTGTGCCAGGGAAGGGGGAGCCTGGGAAGAGCCCAGGAGAGTGTGTGGACAGAGCTGGGCGAGTCTTACAGGCCAGGGTACAAATTTCAGAATTCACCAGCAGTCACAGGAAGCCACTGGAGGATTTTAAGTAGCTGATGTGCGTTTTCTGGTTTGTTCTCACTGGGGGAAGAGTGAACAAGGAGAGATCAACCAGTCCATAGGCTGTTACAATAAGCTGGGTGAGACGTGGGAGGGGCTCAGACAAGGGGAGACAGCATTGGAGGGGGGGAGTGAACGGATTTTGAGATTTATGTTGGAAACGAAGCCGGCGTGTCTGGATAATGGGTTTGTCAGAAGAGAGACAGGAGGGATCTCCTGGTTCCTGAGCTTCTGCGTTGAGCAGAGTATCTAGAGGAAGCATGAGATCATTTGCTGTGATGGGAAGGACTGGGGTAGAAGAATCAAGAGCTCCATTCGGGGTCTATTAAGTCTGAGATGTGTGTGGACACGCAGAGGCAGGAAGCAGGAAGTTGGAGCCTGGAGCTCAGAGGAGAGGGCTGGGCTGGAAATATACATTTGTGAGTCATCGGCATATAGATGGTATTTAAAGCCATGAGATTGGATGAAATCACCTAGGGAGAGAGTATAGATAGAAAAGAGAAGGTCCAAGGCTGAGCTGGTTCGGGAACAGGAGTCCCCGAAAACCAGCGAGTACTCGCCCGAGCCTGGAGGCAGGTTCAGGGTGCCGAGAGACAGACAGAATGAACAGAGAAGTAACCACTAGGTTTGGCAAGCTGTTGGGTCATCGGTGGACCTGGCGAAATGGCTTCAATGGAGTGGTGGGGACAAAGCCAGGTCTGAAGGAGTTGAAAAATGCATTCAACATGAAGACGCAGAGGCAGCGGGTGTAGTCAGCCCCTTGGGGGCTGGCTGTCTGTACCCTAACGATGTGTACCCACAAGTTTTCTCCCCTGTGCACACCCAGAGCAGAGAGCAGGCCCTGGAGATTTCTGTCCAGGTCCCATGTGGAGCCGAGAACATAGTAGGAGCACAATACATTTATTTAATAGTTGGATAAGTAAACGACTGGATAATTCACTGCTTGAGTCAAAAGGGCCTTTTCAGGTAGAGAGGGCAGCTGTATTCTTTTGAAGCAATTGAGGAAACTGTGAAAATCTTCTCCGAAGGCCAAAGGCTCTGAACCCCTCTTCTCCCAGCTAACCCTCAGGAGCAGCTGCACATGGGGCCAGGGCCCTGGCCCAGAGCCTGGGACCATTTTGAGTCCCTGCTGCCCCTTACATGCCTCTGACTCTGGGTAACTCGCTTCCTCTTTCTTAGAAGAGATAAGTGCAGGGAGAAGAGGCCCCCAAGGTGTTACTTTCCTTCTTCTCTCCCCCTTTTCTCCCTGGGCTTTTTTCTTGTTAAGGAAGCAGAACAAAGCAAGTGCCTCCCAGTGTTGCTATGAGAATGGGTGGGCAGGAAAGAGGAGGGGTGGGGCTCCAGTGGAGGAGGGGGCCTCCATCCACAGGGCAGAGGACCTCACACCTGAACAGGCATCTGTGTATGAAAACCAAGGAGCCCCTGAAGTGTCCTTGGGCTTGAATAGGCGGGACACACCTGTGACAGACATTCCTACCGGCCAATCAGAGGGGAACTAACTCTTTGCAGCGTACACAGCCTGCATGAGTGAAAGTGGCTGTTGGGAAGTAACAAATAAGAGACAACTGGGTACCGGAAAGGGGAATTAGGATGGCCCTTGGGGGAGACCGCCCAGAGAGGGGAGCCTGCAAAAGCTCTGTGCATGACTGAGAGAGCTGCCTTGAGAGACGGACCAGGGGGCTTCCTCTGACGACCCCGGTGCCTGCCATTCCCCTGGCAACACCTTCTCCTGGAGCACCTGGTGCAGCCTGTGAGAAGAGGGTGGTGAAGGGCCCGGAGTTGGAGAGCTGTGTCTTCCTGGGTGAAGAGGGAATGAGGTAAGCAGGCGGGCGTGGACACTGCTGCCATCTAGTGGGAAAAACCTGTTATTTCTCCTGGTTTCTAACCTCAGGCTCATCCTTGGCTGAGCACCAGAGAGGGGGCTTGGGGATGGAGGAGATGCCTGTGCCCCTGAATTTGGGGTCCCAAGGCCAGAGTAGCCTCATGGAGGAAAATAAACTCCCTGGGAAGTGTGCACTGCACCCACATTACTTTGCCCATCTGTGTCTTGGTTCCTTCTTCCGTGTGGTGAGGGCAGTAGTAGTACCCACTTCAAAGGGTTGTGATGGTTAGGGGAGATGATCTATGCAAAGTACTTGGCCTAGTACTAGGTGCTCAATAAATGCTCCTGTGGTTGGTCGAAGGGGTAACTGAAGGTGTTTAGCCTTGTCCCCCACCCCCAACTTCTATGAAAAATAAATCTGTGCCTTCTGTACAAGTGCAGCTTTCCTTAGCCCCACCAAATCCCCCCCCCCCCCGTTTCTAAATTCCGGTGCTGCCACACTGTTCACTCCAAAGGAAGGGAGGGTCTGTGGGTCCCAACCTCTTCCCTACCGATGCTGGGTGGTTGCTGGGAGTGTCCAAGCTCCAGCACTTTCTCCCCTCACCCCGGAGTGTGTGGTCACAATGGCTCCAGGTTGTGACATCACAGAGCCACCACCCCTGTCATGAGTGGAGGGGTCATGAACCTGTGGCAGTGGGCGAGGGTGTGGGTGTGGCTGTTTTGTCTGCGGGCCATGGACGCAGGTGGGAAGTGGTCTGAGAGCAGGAGGAAGAAGGAAAGCCTGGTGGGAGGAAGGGTCAGCGCCCCCTTCGGGGCCAGGATGCCACACGTCAGCCTCCCTCTCCGCTCTCCACACGTCCATCTCTCCCATCCACCTGGTCTGGCGCGGGCCTTCTTGTGGGGAGCTCAACCGATCTTTGAGAAGCGCCCGAAACAAAATCAAGGCCCTCCATAGCCGCAATGAGGCTGAGTGACCTGGCAGGCCCCTGGGTCTGCCTCTGCCTTTTGGGGTGGGGGGCCCAGGTCTGCTTGGCTCTTGTCATAGACTTTGCTCTGGGTCCCCAGCACCCAGCCCGGAGCATGCCAAGACACTGACCCTGGGAGCAGAGTCTCCGCTCTTCATAGATAGACCTGACTTCTTTGATTATCCAGACTCAGATCAAGCCAGGCTCCTGGCCCTGGCCCAGTTTATTGGAGAGAAACCTGTCATCTATGTTAACTCAGGTATGAAGCAGCTTGCGAAGAGGTCTCCTCCTCGCCGGTGCCCGGAGGAGTCTCCATTTCCCCCTTTCTTGTCCAGCAGGTTCCAACTCCAGGTTCTTCCATCATATCCTGACGGGCTCTCTGGTAGTGGCCTTCTTCTTCCTCCTTTTCCAGTTCTGCACACACCTGTAAGGCCTGCCCCTCCCCACTCTAGGCCCCAGCCCCGCCCACCTCAGCCTGCCTTGGGGGAGGCCAAAGGACCCAGAGGCGGCCTCCCACCTCTGACCTCTGTGTCCTATAGGAGCTTCCAGAAAGGGGCCTAAAGAACCAGACAAGGACCCTGGATGCCACCCTGAGTTCCCAGACTCACCCTCCTCCTTTGCTGATGAATAAAAGTCTTTGCTTTTTTTCTTCCCTGACTGCTCAGTGACCAGCCAGGGAGTCCTGTCCTGTCCCATGGTCACTCTTGATTTCTATCTTCAGCCCCTCCCCGCACCCCAGCCCCAAAGAACTGAGCTAAGAGGGCCATGGTGGCGTTCACGCAGATCGACTTTATTAGCGGTCTGTAAGCACCTCCCAGGGTCCCCTGACCCCAGACCGGAGGAAGCCTTAAGAGGTCTGTAGCACCAGGGACATGCCACGGCCTGAGGGCAAGATATGCAGCCTAAGGGGGAAGGAGCTGAGTGCCCCTCACCTGCCCTGGGGATTGCTCAGCACTGGGAAGGCTGGGGATAGCAGCCATCTCCCTCCCCCCACCCCAACAGACTAGTTTGAATTTGGGCGAATAAATAAAATAAATAAGGTTCCTCAGGCTGGCCTCCCCTGCAGAGGGGCTGTGGGGGCAACCAGCCCTGAGCAAGGCCATGGGGGTTGGTCAGGGTGTCCCTTCCCTCCCAGACGTCAGACAGCTAAGAGGAGTTTGCAGCAGGGGGTATGGGATCGCCTTGGCCACCGAGCCTCCCTCACATTCTTTGACTCCCAGTTCCCTTGGGTCTCCATCAGTCTCTCCACAGTCCTTGAGCCTTAAGTGAAGGAGCAGTGGTGCCCCTTCCTTGGCCCTTCACACTCCAAGGCCCCAGGGTTGGATCAGAGAAGGGGGTGTGCAGTAAAGGGTGCACTGACCTCAGCTCAGACACCCTGGGGAGCGCAGGCCTTCTCTCCCTGCCTTCCACTCCACCCGGTCCCTGCCCCTTAGCCTTAGCCTCTTGAGGGAATCAGCGCCCACTTCTTCGGAGTCCATTCGCCAGTCAAGGGATTGTCAGGCCCCTGGCTCCCCGCCCCCATACAGCAGTCCCAGAGCCCTGTCCCCGCCGGGATAGGGGTGGGGAGGATCCCCTGGCCCCACCCTCAGTCCCAGGTCTGACTGGGGGAGGGCGGCGAGGAGCTCCGGGGCCGAAAGAGGCGGCAGGCCCCGCGGCAGATGAGGAAGAACCAGTAGAGCTGGGGGGCGAGCAGCAGCGCAGCGCCCAGGTTGACGTGGGCCGGGATCGCGAGGGGCACTGCGAGCAGCGGCAGGCCGGCGTGCCGCCCGTAGGCCCAGTACAGGTAGGGGAAGAGCAGCACCCGGCAGCAGAGGAAGCTGAGCAGCATCAGGGCCCCGTTCACTTTGTGCAGCAGTGTGTGCTGCTGCTTGTACTGCGGTGGGGACGCGGCAGAAAGCAGGGACCAGTGAGGGGCTGCGGCGGGGAGGGGGGCGTGCCTCCGGCGCTGACCACGCCCCCGACCAGCTCTGGGCCCCGCCTCCCCCGCCTTCTACTTCTCCGCCTTCCACTCCCATGCCTTCCCTACATCTGACAGCGCTGGACTAAAGGTCCCGGAGCCCACCTCCCCTCTGCCCCGTCCTATAGTCGTTCCCAGACCTGACCCTTCGCCTGTCCTTTAAAAAACCTCACCATTCAAGTATGGTGGGAACTCCCTAAAAGTTCCTGAAAATGCCTGCTCTTCCCGTGCCCTCCCGTCAGGCTCATATGCCCTCAGGTACCCTCTCACCTGGATAAGGATCTTGCCGAGGCAGACGAAGGGTGTGCTGACCTCTGCCATCAGCAGGCAGCCCAGAAAGAAATCTCCCTTGCCCTGCCGCCACACCTGAGAGGGGAGGAAGGAAGCAGCCTGGCCTCGCCCTGGATTCCAGGGCAGCACCTGCTCCCCTGCTCCCCACTCTCCTGCTCATCATCTTTGGAGATGCCTAACCCTGACCTCAGTCTGAATATGACCTCCCTGTATCTAACAACCTTGTAGGTAAGATCGTACACAGCATGTTACATACGAGGAAACTGAGGCAACGGCAGCCGCAAATCTCCACAGTCGGTACGGCCCAGGCAGGACCGGCTGACCCCAGACCCTCTTGCTGTCCGGTGCTCAGTAAACCCTCCGTGGGGACCCTCCGCCCGAGGCCTGCGCTGCGCTGGAACCTAGACCCGTAGCTCCTTAACTCCTTAGAGCACCGGCGTGAGCAGGACACGGGGGCCCCGGCTGCCAGCACCCCAACTCACCACTGACAGCGGGAAGCACACCAGCACCATGACTGCGTGGTGGAGCACCATGAGGAACTCCTTGTGCAGGTAGCCGCGCGCCACAGCCCAGGTGCTGTCTGGGGCCCTGGCCCCTCCTTCGTCCCCTCCATGCCCTTTGACCTGGTGCTTGTGCCAGTGACAGAGAAACATGGCATAGATGTCATAGATGAAGTAGGGCACTGCAAACTGTGTGTAGGCAGAGGAAAGCCAGTGTCTGTTGGGCAAAAAGGGGCAGGGAGAGAAAGAGGTGATCAGAAAGAAAGAAGGTGGCAGAGCGGCTCCCAGGTGCTGGGGCTGATGCTGGTGCATCATGTGAGTCAGATCGCAAGTGCCGTTCACAGCAACCCTAAGCTGGAGGTGGACTCTCAAATTCCACGATGAAACCCCAGGTTAGCGGGTGAGAGACTTGCTCAAAATCACGCAGTCACACAGCTGGCAAGTAGTAGTGATGGGATTCAAATCAGATTGTCTAACTTCAAAACCCACCCATTTTTCATATTCATTCATTTTCTTCTCCTTCTCCTCCTCCTCCTCCTCTCTGTCTCTCTCTGTCTCTGTCTCTGTCTCTCTCTCTCTCTCCCTCAAGTATGGTGGGAGAAAAAGGGAAAACAGATAAAAAGCCAGCACAGACCAAAGGGCAGAGATAGAGTGAGAAAACAAACCCAGGCAAGACATGAGAGACAGCTGAGGTCAGGACGAATAGCAGAAGGGCTCAGAGTGATGGAAAGGGACCACACTGGCTAACGTCGACTAGTTATCACATGTAGGCACTAGTCTAGTGGTCTACATCTTTTACATGGGTAAACTTATTTACTCCCCCACAAAGATCCTTTAAAAAGTAGGTACGGTTATCACCTCCATTTTACAGGTGAAGAAACTGAAAGGCTACGTACCCTGGCCAAAGAACATGAGAAAAATCTAGCTCCATAGCCCTCACTCTCAGCCCCAGTGTCCCCTGGAAGATTCGAGGCCAGTGTCAGAGTCAGGCCCCGTTGGGGAGTTGCTGTTATCTGTGCTTCTCGTTCTTCCTGACTGTGGTCCAATCTCTTCTTTTTTCAGGTGCAGCCAAGCACTATGGGGAAAACGCTGAGCAAAAGGAGCCAAGAGTAGAGAAAGTTCTATGTACTTTGAGAGTAAACAAAAATGAAAAGTGCACAAATATGCAACATTGCATTTTTCTGCTTGAGTCAGTACATTGAGCACTTTCTCTTAAATCCTATAGTGCTGGGACAGGTCTGGGGCGGGGGGGGGGGGGGGGGGAGTCAAAGAGGCAGGACCAGGGGAGCCGGCTCAGCTGGAGGAAGGACAAAAGCGAAGTCAGCCAGGATGCTACACAGAAAAAGAGCTGAGCTCAAATGTGAGGAGCTGCTGAAGGAGAAGTGAGTGCGACCAGGAAGCGGACAGGCACAGATGGGGGTGTTGTTCTGGGAGCAGAACGAAAGCCCTGCAGGGAGGCGAGCCTGGAAGGAAACAGGGAGCCCACACCGAGAGGGGTGGTTTCCGGAAAAGAGAGGCTGAGACCCATGTTGGAGAGTGTCACCGACCATGAGGGACAGAGAGAAGGAGCAGCTTGGAGACAGAGGGCAGGAAAGTAGGAAGGGGTCCAACAGCTGGAGAGAAGCAGGAGCAGGGAATGGCCAGGAGACCAGCTGTAGCAGACATTGTGGAAGGTGGAGCCACTGGCCACAGGGGGACCAGGGCCACGCACTGGCCCCTGGGCAGCAATGTGAAGATTTAATCCTAAACTCACTCTCTGAGCAATTAGGTGCTCAGAAACAAGAACAGCTGTGGCCCCTAGATTAACCCTGATCCTCCTCACCCACCTGAAGATTAAAAGGGGGAGGGAGAAGAACAGAGCTGGGTTGCGGAGGGAGAAGTAAGAGTTGGAAGGTGACCTCTGTAAGGCAGCGAGAGGGAGGAAATGTGTGGGGGTCCAGGCTCATTTTGGACCCAGAGATGGAGAAAAGGGGGAGAGGGCAAGAGGAAGCCGAGTCGCGGGCAGGAGTGTCCACTTTCTGTGAGCCAGAACTGCTCTAGGCCTTAAAAAGACACAACTCAACTCCTTGCAGCTGCCTTTACAAGCAGGGCTGTGCCTCAGTCCACAGATGAGGGAACGCCTCCTCTTCAGGGAAAGAGGGGCGCCTCTAGGTCAGGCTCATCCAGACACTGTCCCTGGGGCTGAACAGCCATGACGGAAGGGGCGTGGGGCCAGAAGAGAGACATGAGGAGTCATCAGCGTCCTCAGGGGCAAGTCTAGTGCAGCCTGTGGGTCACCTAGAGATGGCCTGTCAGCACCACGGACAGGGCCCCTCTCCTTCCTTCTTCTGGCTTTTTTGGCAAGCACCAGGCACTGCAGCAGCTGCCAGTGCCAAATTTTGACCTCTACACGCGCACACACACACTCACCACTAGTGGCCTTGTTTGTGTCATCTTTCTCTCCCTTGTTCATGGGACTGGCGCTGGATTTGGGGAGGGGTGAGCCCAGCATGAGGAAGAAGGCAACCCAGTTGGCTACTGGTTGGAAATGGGGTTTGAAGGGCGTAAAGGGTGTAGAGGAGGAAATGGCATTCGGAACTTGGGATGCAAGAGGCCGGGGAGCCCAGGAACTGCTTTGAGAATCCTGTTTGATCCCTACTCCTTCTCCTGCTGGTTCTGACCTTTAAGGGCAGGACACGGATCCATTTGTCTCTGGGTGTGGAGTTGCAGCTATTGCAGTTAACGTGCTCAGGTCCAAGTGAAAGGCTTGGGGACCACTGAAGGAGTCCCCTAGAAAATCTCGGGGCTCACACACACAAGCTGCTGCAACTTAA